TTCTATCCAGACACTAGGCACCACATCTACACTCTAGGTAAATGGCGATAGTCACTTAAAAGGGCTTCCCCTCCTCCAACCAGACAAATGTGATGGTGTTGGTAGCCTAGCATTGCAGGGAAGCCAGATTAGGGAAAACAGGCTCACTACCTAGGATATTAGCAGTCACTGAATTCATATGGAATACAGAGGCTAACTGTGCTGGCTAGTCTTTTATGTCAACTTGACACAGAAACTAGAGTCATCTGAAAGGCGGGAACCTCAATTGAGAAAATGCCTCCATAAGATCTGCCTGTATGATACTTTCTTCATTAGTGACCGATGGTGGGCCAGGGCTGCCCATTGTGGGTGGTACCATCCCTGGGCTGGTGGTCCAGAGTTCTGTAAGAAAGCAGGCTGAGCAAGCCAGGGGAAGCAAGCCAGCAAGCAGCACATCACACCCCCCATGGCTCTGTATCAGCTCCTACCTCCATGTTCCTACCATTTGAGTTCCTGTCCTGACTTCCTTCGATGATGGGTAGCAATATGGAAGTGTCAGCCAAATCAAACCTTTCCTCCCCAACTTGCCTTTTGGTCATGGTGTTTCGTTGCAGCGACAGAAACCCTAAGACACTAACAGTAGAAATCACTCATACTGTGGCTGTCACAGAAAAGACTTTCCATTGACATCTCCGAGCTCCGTGAGGGCTATCTGTACAAAATCTATCTATCCAACCAGGCACTATTCAGCACACCAAAAATGCTTCATATGATATTGCCTAGGAGTTCTGAGACTTCCATATTTGACGTATTTTATACCATTAAAATTTTATAATCCAACCTGTATTGACAATTTATCATCAGCCATGAATCATTATGAGTCACATTATAAACTATGTCATCAAGGCTATGAATAATAAAATGATCAGCAATGTGACCAGCAATGTGGCCAACATTTATTAGTATATCAGGTAAAAGGAAATCCAAGCTATGAAAGGAAAAGAGGAAAGCAATTTAGCCAACGGATATGTGAAGCAGTTCTATGTGTAACTGAGAAGTACCCTCTTGTCACACCCCCAATTCAGTCACTGTAACAGAGTCCCAAGAGATGAAGATAATTCCACTGAATTATTAAGTGGCAATGTGAGAAGGCCGTCAGTGCGGTGAGACCATCACGTCCATAAGCTGTAGGTCTTGGCATCTTCAGGCCTGATCCCCTTACTTGGATCCTCACTCCTGGCATAAGGATGACCAGCGGATGGCTAGCACATCACTCCTTGCACCTACATGCAGCTTGATAGCCATGTGCCTTACAGTTTTACCTTTCTCTTGTACAACTATCTGTGGTTAAAGTTTGGCCACAGAACCGTCACTTAATTCTCCAAACACATCCTTGTCCATGGGTGTTCTGTTTCAGAGCCATCTTCCTCCCCTCGGTGCAGAAAGCGAGCGACTTCCATATGGAAGAAGGAATCATCCCAGAAAGCTGAAGGCAATTTTCCAAAGTGACGTACAACTCCATGGATGTCTGTTCTAGAACAAGCCTACAACAAACTCTACATTTCATCAATTAAAAAACAGAGTTGTTTTCCACTTTAGACTAAAGCGACGAGTCACTTCTCAAAGTAAATTAAAAACATCAGAATATAGACCATTCTCAAAATATCTTGATTTTGAAAGGAGTCAGGTTAGGGTCACAGTGAGCCAGGTGGCTGGCATCATGCCAGTCATGAAAATCTATTTAAATAGATCTCTGGATAATAACATGGGGGTGGGGGGCTTTCTGTTTAAAAGATGACAACTAGATTTTTAAAAATCAACTTAAGTAGTTTAATTTTTTTATTTATTTTGCCAATTTGTACAGAGAAGAAATAAAATTGCAGTTATGATTTAATCCAGACTTAATCTAAATGCTCCAGGTTATATGATTACTCAGGTTTTTATTAGATTGAATTGGTAGTGGGTTCTTTAAATTTACGTTATGTCAGGTCCATTCACGGGATTATCTCGGTTTATGGGGCCTGTAAATGCAGCAACAATGTGTATGACTTTCTCTCTGGCTCAGGAGCAGCTGCCTCCTTTCTCCAGGCCTGCCATCATGTCCCTGCTACTCCACCTCCCTCCAAAAACATCAGAGGAAAGAATCAGCACTACACTCAATCTCTCCCATTTCAGAGTCTTTCCTGTGGCATTTACATGCCAAATGCAGCACCTTCTCCTTATATAATAGAAGGTAAAGACTTTAGCCAAAACAGTTTGATATTCCCAATGACTATAAATCATGAGCCCCCTCTTTTTAAGCCTTCCTAACAAACAGGATGTATTTCCATTGAAAGCCTGCTTTTACCTGAAGCAGGTGAAACTTAACTGCTCAATCAATCATGCTCATATACACTCTGTATATTTGAACAAAATTTTCTAATGCATCAAAGAAACTAAATTCCCTCTTATATTTTGGGGAGCAAGAGCAGGAATGGGCTTGGGGCCTCACGCAAGCCAGCTGAGCTGCAGAATCTACCTCCCCCTTCTGCTTTAACTTTCCAATCTTGAAGTCAAATTAAACAAGCAAGAGTTAAACTGTTATAATGTACTGTTACATAATAAAAGTTTCCTGTAGGCATTTACAAACACTTCCCAAAATCCTCCACATTGTTACTGTAGGCGAATTAAACGTCTAAATTAGAAGGTTCACTGATTACAGACATACCTGAAAAACAATGTAGCAACTAGAAGACACAACCTTTCATTTCATCTCCCTTGGGTCTTAACTGAAATGCCTGCAGACTTTTCAATGCCCTTGATGCATGCAAAGTAGGGGTCGGAACACAGGAGATTGGTTGGACAATTGACTTCTAATTTTACTGAATCAGATACAAAATAACCAAATGCAGAAGGTTTTATAGCACCTGCACCCTTCCAAGCAAACAGTGTGGAATTAAAAGTACACAAGGTATGCTTAGAAACAGCCAGAAACACTTCCTCCAGACCTTGTTCTTGCTTTCACGTTGCCATTTGCCACAACTGTTTCCCAGGTATCAGAAAGGAAGATACTTCCATGCAATATACTCCATCTAAAAAGAGACGAAGAATTCTACTTTCTAAAAAACAAAAACCTAAGCCCGGTTCTGGGAAAGCATATGTCAAAATATTGTCTTTCTGCATTAACTGACCAAAAATGTATACTAGCCATTATTAATTTTATACATATTTACCAACCTTTAAAAGTTGTAGGTTTGTGCTTTTTATTCAGTGAAACTCAGTGACAAAGAGAGAAACGGCCCTTTCCACTAATTACATCTTGAAATATACATGACTGAGATGTCCCCGGGTTACTTGCAGTGGTAACTTACACGCCCCGAATTTCACTGTACCAGACGGTTCTATCTGTCCCATCGCTGGCCAAACACTGCTGCTCTGTTTCTATTCATTATGTATTATACGAGGCCTAAACACAGCCCAGTATGACGAGGGGAAATATTCCAATCCTTATGACAGCAGTGATGCATTCAAGATTTCTCACAGTACAGTCCGGACCTGGAGCACTAAAAGGCGTTTTCTGATACAGCTAAAATATGTTGGCTGCAAGCTCGTCACTCAAGAACATTTGGCCCTCTGTCTCTGCGGGTATTCAGAAAACCCTAGTTTTAAAAAAAATGCGCTATCCAAACCTTGCAAAACCAAACTTGCCAAGAGCCTTGTGCAACGATCAATAACCTTGGGCTACACTGACACCCAAATTCACGGTCCTGGAAACCAATGCAGCAAAAACCCAGAACCATAGACTGGAGCCCCAAGAAACTACCGCGCTTCCCTCTCCGCCGCCCTCTGCCGCAGGGAGAGAAGCGGAGGCAGGAGATGAACGAGGCTCACCAGCTCTGAAGATGCTCCGTGACCTCTGGCTGCGCGGGGAAAGCAGGGCCGGGAAGGCGCTAGTGCGGCCGCGGCCCGTGCGGACTCTGTCCCTGGTGCATTCCTTGCATTCCAGCACAATCTGTCGCCAGCCTACGAGCTGGCAGCGCGCGTCGCCCGTTGGACACACACACACCTGCCTATCGCGGCGCCCGGAGCAACCGCGGCGCCTCCGCTGCCTGCGCTCGCGGGGTGTCGCACTCAGCCACCACACCGCCAAATCTCAGCCCCGCCGCTGGTCCCCTCGTTTCCCAAGGAACAGGAGGGGACAGGGACCCCCGATCCTCCGATGGGTGCAGCAGCCACGCTCCAACTCCTGGCAACGCGAGGAGGCAGGGCGGTGCGGGAGGGCGGCCCGTAGCCTTGGGGCTGGGGCGCCCGCGAGGGAGGAGCGTGCGGTTTGCTGCCGCGAGCTGGGAACCCTGGACCCGCCGGGCGGTCGCCACGAGCACCAGTGCGACTCCAAGGACCGGAGCGACACGCGGGGCGGGCGTGGGAGGCAGCGGTAAGCGGTTGCTTCTGAGGAACGAGGGACGGGGCGACAGACGGCCGGCCCCCGGCGCGACGGCGCGCGGGAGCCGCGGGGCTCAAGTTCGGGAAGCGGTGGCGCGGTGCCGGAGGAGAAGCGGTCGCACCGAGCGGTGCGGGGCAAAGTTGTGCGCCGCCGGGGG